CAATAGTACATGGCGATGGAAGAGCTGGAATCTGGGAACAGAGGGTGCACTGCAGGGCACTGCTGTGAGTTCCCCAAACCCCAACTCTGGGGCATGAGCTGGTTTTGAGCACATTGGAATCTGATCAGGACTGGGAGGAAAAAGGGGGCTGACTGATCACAGGAGCTGGAAAGCTTTCAGCTCATTCAAGGTGGGGCTGATTTGAGACCTTACASTGAAGATGCTGAGAGAGTTTAAGGCAGGTTAAGGGCAGACTGAGCTCTTGGTAAGGACGTGCTGGGGCATTACAGGCCCAGTGTGCAGGGAACTGGGATTGCTTGGCTTTAATCCATCTTACCAAGCATTAGAGAGGTCACATCAAATGGAGGTAAAGTAGTTTAGCCTGTGTGCTGTCAAATAGAGGAGAAGTGAACATAACCCATGTGGCATTTTCAGAAGGTTATTGCGAGTTCTTCCCTGTTTCTTTCATCTCAAATCAAGTTCACAGAAAATAGGTGGCGTCTTTTGGTTTCCCTTTGCTGGTGAGGTGCAGGAAAATGAATATTGTCCACAAAKTGAGTGATGGGAGGCAGCTGGGGTTGTTTTCTGATACTCTTAACAGTAGTAGTAAAAACCTAAATTAGCTTAGAAAGCATGATAGTGCAGTGAAAATGTAATTCCTCTAGTCAAGCCAAAATCAAGATGGGAGCCAGTGAAAAAGCAAAAAATGGAAAAGGTTAAAGTTATAATGACAAACATATTTTATTTTTGGAATTCTATCCAAAGTATTGGGATATTTTTGTATTTTTTTACTTAGGAAATCACTGTGCTGTAATTGATATCTGTGCAATGAATACCAGCTCTTGGGGGGACCAGATACTATGAAAGGTTATCAGGAAACTTGGATTTGTATCAGAGATTTGCTGTGGCCGTATTCATGGAAGAGAAGTGGATTGCAGTCTCCAGCAAACCAGCTGGATGCCTACTGGCATTTTAAAACAAAGAACTCTGATTCCATTGATTGTCATAACAGTGGTGCCATTGGTTTCAGTAGAAACAGAAGGTTCTTATTTCTGATATGAAATATGGCATCTTTCTATTATGCATAAGATTATTTTAAGTGGATTTTTTTTAATTTGCTTCTCTCCTCTCTTCTTGTTCTGTGTTTTTAAAAGCCATCTTTGTATTTGCAGTAAAATGCTCTAGGTTGTCACACTGCATTTGGAACCTCTGACATTTTGTGCTTAATGCAAAGGAAAATCTCAGCAAYAGGAAAAGCTGAATAAGGTTTTCTTCATCAGTGCAGCAGTTGCCAGCTAATAGCAATATGGTAAACCCTTCTTTCCYCGTTGTGCAAACATCATTAGCAAGGTTTGCTTGTGTCAAAATGATTTTGATGCTCAAAAAGTTATTCAATCTTTTGAATGAAGATTTACTACCATTCTTTTGTTGCCTAATGGCTACGCTATACCTATATTTGATTCAGTGCATCCTTTTTTTTTTTTTTCCCTGAATTTTAAATCCAAAGATAGTCCTTGAATAGGAAATAAAGAATTTGGCTAAGGTTTTGGTATTACCAGCAAACTGACTGAGAGCAGAGCAGTGTATATACACACAGCAAGGATCACTTTCACTACATGCTGGAAATTCCAGAAAAATGGCCATCACATATGTGCAAGTGTTGGTCTGCCAAAGTGTTCAGCATGTACATGGTAAATTCAGCTAACCTGGATTTATTGGAGCCACAAAGATCAGCTGCAATAGTGGCATTTTTAATAGGTCTAATGCAACACAGCTTACCCTGTGTACCTGGTTCATCMGCCTAAAACAGCTGAGAGCTTGGATGATTTGGCATTTGGAACAGTGAGTATGCATTATTGAGTTATCCAAAAGAGTTATTGCAGCTTTCCTTTTGAGCCAAGGCAATGTCCTGCAGCCATTCTGAGCTGGGAGTTTGGGAGAGCCTGGAAAAGGTTGTGCTGGGACCCACTGGTGTGTTTATTGTGAAAGCACTTACCAAAATACTGCTGGAATTATGATCTGAAATGGGGAATTGTATTCATCCTGTTGGTGATCCAGAAAACTGTGGGCTGTTTGTGGCCAATTGTGTTGGATTTGTGGTCACTGTCAGGATAGAAATAGAAATTAAATGAAGGTATGTTGGTTGGGATATGACACGCACTCTAGTGTTCAGGCATGTTCTTAMTGAGACGTGATATCATATAATGGTTTGCTTATCCTTTGATTTATGAAACAGCTGTGGGACATCCAGTCCCTGGGGAGTGAGGTCTGAGAAGGTTTGGAAAACAGAACTTCTCTGGCCAAGACTTTGCTTTTGTAGGCATCACTCTAAAGGAGTGCAGAATGGGCCTGAAAAGGTTTCTGGTGGCAGACTTGGGGCTTGAATCCTTATTTCATCATTTATTTTCCAYACATGGAACTGGTGACATGAGGCACACTCAGAAATGTCCCCCCTTCCCTGGTTTGACTGCATTTCTGGACTTCATGCTGCAGAGCCCCAAACCCTGATTTCAAGCTTCCTGCTTTTACTTGTCCTGGTAAATTCTACCTGGAGACAATGCCCACTTTAGGTTATCCATTGTTTATGGCATTTTGGTTACAGGGATCCTTCTGTTTGACAGAATCCTCTGCCATGGCATCTGCCTAGCTGGAAAATGAACAAGGTCCATAATATGTGAAKCAAAAAATTTTTCCTGATTCTTGTGTAGCTGGATTATACATAGTTGAAATATTTAAGAGTAAAGAGAAGATTTTGTGTGGCTGCTGACTTTTTTTTTGGTTGAGTATCACCTCAGTGGGTTTTTCATGGGAGATCCAGCAGTCACTTTTCTTTAAGCTGCTGTCTTGAAACTGATTATCTGGGACTGTGTTGGTCCATGTCTGGCATTTTTAGTTGTTCCCTGAAGTTCATTTATCCAGTCCTGAGTAGGAATTTGTGGCAGGGGATCCCAAATACTCAGAATGGACTGATGGCCTTCCAGCTGCCATTTACTGATCTTTCTAATTAAATAATGAACTTGGTGGTGCTCTCCAGATCTGTCAGAAAATCAGATTCAGTTGAACATGCAATCAGTGAAATATTCCTGCTGCATCKGCAAGATTTTTATAAATGTTCTGGACTTTGCTTTCATTCTGCATTCTGTGACACTTAAAAGTTAATCCTTCACTGCATTTTGTTGAGATCTACAATTTTGCTTATCATTTACTGAAAACCAGAAAGAGCTCAACAGATTAGGCATTGCAGGAAACCACAGAAAATAAACTTCTGCATCTGTTTAGATGAAAAGAAGGAATAATTTAAATTAAATCTGCTAAACCAGCAATTGGAGCTAATGTGGTAATAGACAYGATTTCATTATCATTAATACAGTATCTTCTAATCTCGTAATTTCACCAATTCTGTAATTGTTTGGGAATCTGCAAATCTGGGCCCTTTGAATTGTTAAAAAAAACCCCAAAGTCTGAAAATGGGAACCTTTTCTATTTTCCCTWCTGCTTCTGATTACCTTGAAAATGCACAAGGTGTTCTTTGGCAATTGCTTAGGTCAGGACTAAAGTCAGAAATTGTAATGTGTTCAGATTTATTCTGTACCCATTTATTGAAATTACGCAAGCCCCTTATGTAGGCAGTCATATTTCAGATTAATATGAATAACATAAGTACATGTAAGAATTTTTATTCAAGGAGTTTGTATCATATTTAGAACAAGATTATTTTAAATGCTGCTTTGTTTGAGAACTCACTTTAATTTGGATTCTAAATCGGATTTCTCCATTTAATTTGGTGTGGAAATTGGCAAGAATTAAATGTTTATTTAATGCATGCTGTTTAGCTGTGTTTTTGCCATAGCATGTAGTTTGACATAGATAGAGATCCTTGATAAACATGGAGATAAAGCTGGAACTCAAGCTATGTGGAACAATGTAATCAACCTTGGGGTTTGTTTTTTTTTTTTTTGTTACAGAAGCCATAATAAGTCATTCTGCTTTAAGAACTATTCCAAATACCCTGATCTTATCCAGGACAGTCTAGGCATCCTTTTTCAGTTTCATGATTGCAAATCAGGCTCCTTGCAACCCTTTTCCCATTCTCTGGCTTGGAACAGATGATTTTGTTTCTGTCAGATCAACCAATCACAGTGCTTTTGAGATAAGGGATTTTTAAATATCCTGGAATATCCATGCATTTACCGCTCTTCAGAACACAGCTGTAAAAATTGTGCACATTTTTTCACCAAGTAAAAACTAACTCAACAGAATATGAAAGCTCCCACATGGACAAATATATTTTATCTTGCAGTTCAGATGGGGTGGATAATATAATGTTACAAATATCTAAGTTTCATTTGCTTTTAATAATGATTTCTTTCACTGCTTGTTGAGAAGTGTTGGTATTAAATCCAGGATGCATTGTAGAATTATTTTATCTAGCTGTGTATTTGCAGGAACAGCAGTGAATAACAGTTGCAGGATGGTCATAGGTTCAGAAAGGTCTCTTATAAATCTTTTTTTTTTAACTTGAATCAGTTGTTGATAGGACACAACCCAAGTCAGTGGTTTCTTTGGATGGATATGAATATTGCGCTTGTTATTTAATCACTTATTAAATCTCTGTAAAATAAAAAAAAAATAAAATTCTGAGTTGCATCCAGAGATATAAATAACTTCTCAAGGCTGATAATTGAAGATAGGTTGGAAAATGGATCATAGRATCACAGAATGGTTTGAGGTGTTGGAAARGACCTTAAGRATCATYTCKTTCCASCCCCCTGCCATGARCAGGGKCACCTTCCACTATCCCAGGTTGCTCTGAGCCCCATCCAGCCTGGCCTTGAGCAATTCCAGGAWGGGGCAACCTGTGCCAGGGCATCTCCACCTTGATAGTAAAGAATTTTTTCCTAATGTCTGATGGAAATCTACCCTCTTTCACCGTGAAGCCCTTATCCTTTGTCCTGCCACTACCTGCCCTTGTGAAATGTCCCTCTCTGTCTCTTTTGCAGGCCCTCTTTAGGCACTGGAACGTGCTCCAAGKTCTCCCTGGAGCMTTCTCTCCTGACCTGTCTCCATAGCAGAGGAGYTCCAGCCCTCTCATCATCTCTGTGGCCTCCTCTGGACCTGCTCCAGCACATCTCTGAAACATGAGTGCCGAAACAGGTAACCCAAAGAATTAGTGACAAAAAGAAATGGTGGAAACACATAGACAGTGATTTGGTGGGTACATTTTTGTGATCCAAATCAGCATCCTAATTGGGGTAAAGTGGCAGTTTCCAAAGCTGTTGAGTCAATGTTGTGATGTCCTGGTCTGCTCAGGAAGTACTGGTTCAGGTCCAGCCAGGAGTGACAGCAGGATGGAAGAACTATATTTAGTTACTAATAATTTTATTTTTTTGTGTGTCAAAATACTGTTCCTTAATTCTAAAAAAATTCTATGTTGCTGGTGCAAAAATTAAGAGGCAAAAATTGCACAGAGGAGGCTGATAACAGCATCTGTTCCAAAGATATCTTAATGAACCGAGCAGATTCTGTGCTTGTCGCATTTGGCCTGTGACTTTTTGTACTTCACTGCAGGAGGAGTAACTTAATATATTCCTGGAGAACTCATGTAGAAAATGCAAATATTCTGCTTCTGCTAATGCTTCTGAAAATCAGGCTGAACATGCATGTTATAGCTTCAAGAAATAAATGGTGTTATAAGAGTAATATTAAGATGTGGAGGAAGATTTTTTTTTTCCTGKGGGCAAATTATTTCATACTTACCCACTGCAGGTTTTTGAATCTTCCCTGGGAAACAACACATATTTGATACCAGGAACAATAGGATTCTTCATGAAGTATTTCTAAGGTTTTGGAGAGCAACTCCAGTGACATCTTGGAGTGATGCTCTGAAATGTCAGTCATGTCAATGACTATGTCAGTGACACATGCTATGAATAAATGTGTGATGCATCCAAGTAGGTGATAAAAATATGTTGAAATGTATTTTTTAATATTTRTTATTATTAATAATGATCTTCAGAAGCCTATTACATCATTCTACTTTACATCTAATTAGCTGGTATTCTACAGAAGAGAATTCAGCAAGCTCGGGGCTAAATTTGGGAGCAGAGGAGTTTGAGCATGGACAGGGTGTGTGGCACCTTTTCTGCATTTCATTTTGATAAATTACTGCATTCTTTATAATAGTACATAATATATATATAAATTCATCCAAGTCTTCAGTGCTTAATTGTTTTAATAAGCCATTTCCTTTTCTATCATCAACAGTGCAAATAAAAGGATGAAAAAAAAATAGTGCATTACTGTATTTGTTGGTCATTTGGTCTGTGCCTTTAAGTGAAGTTCTACTATTGAATGCCGGATAGAAATATTTCTTTGATGACTTGTTAATAATGCTTTCCTTTTTCCCAGCTGGATTCTGTCCTGCAGTAGTATTAACAGCTGCAAGACGTTCCAGTGCAGAGTGTAGTGAAGAATAAAAACAGAGACAGTATTGGGAAAGTTTCAGAATAAAGGCTCAGGATGAACAAATTGCAGCTTACTCTTCCTGCTTTGTCCCTTTGCTCTCAACTCCTCTTTTTCTTGTAAAAAGAATCTGTCTTTTTGGATCTCACAACTTGTGTTTAGTTTCTGCATTCATACAKTTGGATCTCAGGCCTTTAATGTGAGTGTGTAGTGCTCAAGCTGCTTGTACCAACTATGATTTCTGAATATATTCAGGAAGACTTTTAAAATTTTACATGACAATGYATTGAAAGAATGGTAATTAGTGATGAAGGTCAGACAGACATTTTAAAACCGAAACTGCTGTTGTGTCTTAGCATGTTTTAAGGGCAAAACATGTGTTTTAGATGGCAGCTGTGGAATTTGCTTTCTGTTTTAGCAGATTTTTTTACAACTGGAAAGCAAAATAGCAGTATGCAAAGTAACTGTTGTATCTATCATTCTGCTTGCTGACACTGATGGGTGTTTGTTTCCTTCCAGATGCAGTTTCCACATCTGCTTACTCATCACCAGCCAAAAGTTTGGGAGATCCTGGAATAACTCCACTGTCTCCATCACATATTGGGGTAAGAAATGCACTCCTGACATAAACTGCATGCTTACGTTACCTTCTCCTGCCTATTTAGTGGGACATAATTTCTTTAGAGTTGTCATTTCCCCCATATTGATCCCCTTCATGCTCTCCATAGTATAAAGTGAGATTTTGGTCATGCTGGGGTTGATGACAGTGCTCTCATTCCTTTCATTGAAGTCCTGGTTTTATTATTTTTCTCTTCCTAAACTCATAGACTTGCTCCTGCCTATTTTTATATCAAACACATGGACTTTTTGATCCTCAGGGTTCCCAAGGTCTGTCCCAGTCTTTATTGCTGATTTGTTTAGGCAGCCCCTGATAAGTCTCCTTCCTTTCAGGAAAAAAAAAAAAATAAAGGATATATATGATATTCAACAGTAAGAACCAAATTCCCAGAGGAAAAAAATCTGCTTCTAGAGAGATAGAGATAGAAGCTCAAAATAGAACTAACTGGTTTTATTTCTCAGGGAAAACAGGCACTTCTGTAAGCTTTTAGAGCCAAGAGAATGTCCCATAGGCAGTGTGTTTTAATYTCTTGTACATCACACTGATTTTGTTGATAAACTCATGTTAAAATTGACTCTCACCCATTTTTAAGGTCATCTCTATGATTTGTAGCACAGTACATGCACAGTGCATTTCATGATACTGCGAGAGATCATGTTCAGAACACATTTTTATCCTTGTCAGCCTTCTGCCTGAGCTTTCTGATTCAAGTTCAGAGTTGTGCAAAAACCATCTTCAGGTTTTCCAGTGCTCTCACTCATGGTTTTTGGCTGTTRTTCCCTTCTTTCTCCAGATACTCTTGAAATTATTTTTTTGCTTCTGTCATTCTGATAAATTATGTCCTATTTCCGGTAGATTTGCTGCTTAAACTCTTTGAGAAGGACATTGTCCTAGTTGAAAAGCTTTATTAGGAGAATCCAAGCAAACCTTTCATGACTGGAGACCTCTGTGAAAGATTACAAGAGTTGCTTCAAAGTGTTTCTGAGAGTAACAGAGTGAGCAGCCGTGGTGGATTTAGGGCARAGGAGGCTGGTGAAGGATCTGGAGCATATTGCCCTTGACTCTGCTGTTCAGGGATTGCAGGATTACAGGTGAAAGGCAGGGAGAAGGATTCAAATTCACCATAAGCAGCTGAAGAGCTTCCCACATTCCAGCACAGGCAGGAGCAAAGAATGCATGTAGTACTGGCTGAATAGGTGTTATATAAATTCTTCTTTATATCACAGGATATAAAACTTATTGCTGTGTTTTGTGTGGTTTTTCTCCATTATTTTTGAATGGTAATAATATTTCATGTTCAAAATTATGATATAGTGAAGGTGTAAAACCAATGAGTCCCAAATATTGATAGACATAAATATATTTGCCAATTGATCAGTTTAAGAATAAGAACCTGAAAACAAACCAACAAAAAACCAGCCCCAAAACCATAAATTTTAATAATACAGGATAAGAAGTATTCCAGAAATTAATATGAATGAAAATTGTATTAGAAAATTATTTATAAAAGGTTCTAGCATATATGTTGAGTCATGTATTGAATTTCCAATTCCATAGGAATGGCAGCTTTCTTGTACCAGCTTTGGTCACAAAGGCAGCTTTAGGGAAGTTCTCATTTTCACTGAAGAGATATGCAGGTCTTGCAGAGCAGAAATTCTGCCAGGTTACAATTATTCTGATCAGTGATTCAGTGTCTGTTTTGCCTCTGCTGTTTAACAGAAGGACTCTGATGCAGACGATGCTGTAGAACAGTTATTTCTTGTTGTTGTGGCTATTGATTTTGGCACAACATCCAGTGGCTACGCCTACAGCTTCACCAAGGAGCCAGAATGTATTCATGTAATGAGGTAAGGGCTGCAATGCAGCATTTGGTTTGTGACTCTGATAACATGGGYTGCCTGCAGTAGCCACAGATATTTTCTGCAGGAGCCTGAAGTGTCTGGATTTGTCTGGCATTGCCAGTGTGCAAATTTCTCTAGGTTATGACTTTTTGTTGAATCTTATTGTATTCTGACTTGCTTTAGTAGCAATGGGAACATGTCCTCTCTCCTATTTTGCTGAGTTTACAGGATGACATGAGTAAAAAGAAGAGATCAGTGAGAATTCAGAATTGTCCAGGCAGCAGAGTTAATAATTAGTCGGGATAACCTTGTCTCAGAGACTGATTTTCTAAGGTCGTGCCATTTCCCAGGAGCTGCCCATCCCCTGRAGTCACACTGTGGATGGTTGGGTGTAACACGTGGTTACTTGCTCTGGGAGTTTGGTTGATTTAAGCTTTTTAGCTTTAAATTTGAATAAAACTTGTGATAATGATCCACTGAGAAATAASCAGTCAAAAGTCATGAATGTGAAAACGAAGGTTTGGTGTGAAATCTGTTCTGTGTATGTAAGGGACAGGCTTTAGCTGTTGTGATGTGTTGTTTTTATTTCTTCATTAAATCAGCACAGTATAAATCCATGCAGTCACAAATGCTACAACTGCTATGGCAGCTACCTGCAAGTTTTGCCCTGCAAACCAGTGTTACAATATTTTATAAGTTATTTTTAATTTGAAACATATACAATTCTTAACCAAGTATATTTAAAATTACTTGTTGTGACAAGTGCAAGATAATTTTAGGCAAAAAACTAACTATGTATGAAAAGCTCCGCCATAGGAGTTCTTCTAAATGATGCTGCTGTTGCAGCAGTAGGTACTGTGCTGTAATGCTGAGAACAAAAGGTCAGAAAGCCTAATTTGCTGCAGTCTAGTGTGATATACTGCATCTTTTCTAAGCAAAGGTGGTAGCTGAATGCTRCTCCCTCAATCTCAGCAGACAGCTCTGATGGTGCAGTCAGCCTGCATAGCTGGTTTGTGTGTGGCTGCAAAGTGTTTCAGAGATCTAACACAGCTGAGGGATTTGAAATGCTTCTAAAGGGTGGTAAATCTAGGAATGGTATTCTGCCATCCAGTTGCAAAGATAYCCACCATTTGCAGGGTGGGCAGTTAATGCTTTCCAGGTCTTCTCTGCATTTCAGCCTTGGAGCAGCACAGGAAGGTGGACAGGGCTGGAAGTCAAAGGGCAGGCTGTGTGTTGGGCTCAGGGTGGTCAGGTTGGAACCCATGTTTATCAATTCCTGTTCCCTTACGGCAGCAAGTAATCAATTAAAGTTCGTAAAGAAGTTGGATGTAATGAGGGAAAATACATCTGAAGCTTTACCTAAGCAAGCCTAAACTGTACTTGGAACAATTCTGTGTTGTTCTGTAATCTCTGGAGATTTTACTGTGTGAAATCTGTTTTTAGGGAAGTCATTTAAGTGCCTAGGATTTACCTTAGGACCCAATTTTGCCATTGGGTTCACATTGCAGATTAGATTCTCCTTCCCTGGAGAAATTCCTTCTCCTTACCAGGCTTTCTGCTGTCAATCACTGGGAAGTGACTGTCAAGGTGCTGAGAGGATATTCTAAATCTTAATTGACATTTTGCTACTTGTGGTTCAAAACAAAACGTTGTCTTCCTTATGCAATAATGGCAGCATGACTGTAATTTCAGTGAATTATTATATGAGATACTGATGTTGAAAGAAATTAGATAAATTACTTCATGCATTTCCAACCAGAAGGGAGGAACATTTTTATTTTTTGGAGGGGGTGGGGAATATATTCATATTTCCAACAAGTATTTCAAACAATGAAAAATATTTGAATACAATAATTATTTACATTTCTTTAAAAATAAGTATTCCTGTCCAGAAAGGATTTTGGCAAGATATAATTGGAACCGACTTACCAGATATTATATGTTTATGTATARATACTCATCAAATTATGTAATTCCATTAAAAGAATGGCATATTTATTAAAATAAGTCTTCAGTAGTTCAGAAGGTATTAAAGGGCTCAAACTCTGTATATAATGAGGTTTTCATGTAGGATAACTTACAAATATTTCAGCAGAGTAAATGTAACTTCCCGCCGGCACTCAAGAATGTTTACATTAAAATAAAGCATACCAGTGATGCATGGTCCTCTCTACTTCCTAACATTTTTTCCACCTTCCCTCCTCTAGTGTTGATCCTTTCCAGATACTTAGATTTCTGACTGTCTTTTAACAAAGCTGCTTTTCTGTAAAAGGGTAGGATGGGTTTATTTAGAAGGTCCTACCTTAAAAAGGGTGAACACACGGGGCTTTAGCAGTGGGTTTGAGTGTAGTGCCAGCAGTGCCAGGATTCTTCTTGTGTAATTAGCAGCCAAACAAAGTCATGTTTTCGACTGTGTATGTTTATTTTCTGTGATCCCCAGTTCTAAAAAAAATGAATTTATAAGCATTGACTTAACGAAGTTYTTTAAGCATATATTTATCTTTAAATGTATGAGTAGCCTCACTCATCTCAGGATGTTTGGAGTTGGGTGGGGCTTTGTAAATGTTCAGTCAATGACTTCACTTTGATTGCAGAACACTGGTTACTGTTTTATCAGTTTTGGGTAGTATTTCTCATAGCTGACAGCTCCTGATAGTTGCCCCCAGCTCCTGTTAAAGGCAGCTGTGGTTCAGATTCTTTTTGCAGAGAGAATGTGCTGTAATGAGCGCTGTTTGCAGCATAACTTGAGGCATCTGAACAGCGTGGCCATGAGCTCAGCACTTCAGGGCAGTGCAGAGCCGTAAGGAAAGTTTGCTGCTGCAGAACGAGTCAATGTGTCTCATTTAGAGGAAATACATGAGGTATTACACAGTTTTTAAAAAACCCCTCTTGATTTATGTGCGCTTACATGAAGTTACAGATGTTTTGGCTACTGGCAAAATAGCAGCAAACTGAATGGGAGTATTTCACAAGTGGAGAATAAATGAAAAATGCATGTGGCTATGAAACAAATTGCAGTCTGTCCTTGGAAGGAGGGAGAATGTGGTCTCTCTTCAGTGCAACTTTAACCTTCAGGTTTTTCCCTTTTCCGTGTTTTATGGTAATTATTGGGAGACACACACTTGCCTTTATTCTGCACACACACTGCTRGTGGTGTTCAGCTGCATTTTGATGACCCCAGTGTTTCATTTCCTYCACTGTGGTGCTGCAGCTCTGGATCAAATTCTCATCACTCTGCACAAGTCACTCTTTGCTCTGCCTTAGCCAGACTGAAGTGTGAGTAAGGGCATTTCTCTAACCTTCCTATAACCTCCTGCTCCTCTCCTCACTGACTCTCCTCTTGTTTRTTTTCACTGCTAGTATACACTTAGATGCTCTGTGGCTCTAAACAGGTCTGTGTTGTTTATATTTCTTGAAATACTCCACTTTATATCAGCCTAGAAACTCCTATGTCTGCATTTGAAATAAATCTGCCTTTGTTCTGTTTGAATAGTTTTTTTTTAAACTGTGATTCTGCTCTTCACAAATATCCCCCCCCGTGCATTTAGAGCAATTCCGGCTTGTATAGGTTTATGCTTTTGATAGGTATTTCCTTTTTTTTTTCTAAGAGTGTTATTACCATTATTTTGCCTGCACTGGTACCATGAAAGAAAACTGCAAATGAAGGTATTGCAGTCCCAGCCCTACTAAAATCCTTCCCTAACTGGAGCGAGGCCAGGGCTCCACCTGGGAAGAATGTTGCAGCCAGGAGTCACCATTCCCATGCTTTTGCATCTGCTTCTCTCCAGAAAAATACCACATGGGAATATTTTTGAATCTCTGATTGGAAATGATAAAGTCATTCTTCCCCTTCTCTTTCCTGACTGTCCTTTCTGTGACTGAGCAGTAATACAATCTGAGAGCTTTAGAACGTGCTGAGCAATTACCTTGTCCAGTTTCCCCCAGAATCTCATCAGGAAGGGAACATCCAATTCTCCAGGTGCCTCTGAAAATTTCACCCCGTAGCACTGACCATAAATTTGTCTTCATTTCAAGCGCACCTTAAACGTGCTTGTTCCGGAAAGAGAAAACGTGCCCGGCTGTAATGAAAAACAAAGAAACATTGTTATTGGCCACAGCCTATTTATGGCATTTCCCACCAGTGACTCAGAATGAATCATTAATGATTCCGAGCAAAAGCGATAGCAGTCTGTCTCCTCTCTGCTTGCAGCAGGTGTGTGGGATTTAACAATCTGGAGGAATAGCGGTGTTTTCTGTTCATGAGCTGTGAGATCCCAGCTTCTCCTCATTGGAACCATATGTTTGCTGTAACACCTACTCAAAGATTTTGGAGTTGACCAAGTGCAATTCTAGCAGCAGGTTAGAAGAAATGACCTGGAGCAGAGCCCTTTGCCAGCTGATTATAGCTCAGGGGCTGAGCAGAGGAACTAGGCAGGTTTAGGAAAGTCTTTTTGAGTGGATGAATGTGGAAATCATTCCAGTCCTCATCATTCTGTTTCTGCTTTGAGGGCAGTGGAATTGTCCTCTGCACTGAAGGAAGTTCAGACACATTATTCTCTGCTGCTTRTACAAAAAAGAGAGATTTTGTTCTGTTTGGTTCAATTGGTTGGTCTGAAAGGATCTCAGCACTTCAGAAATTYCCATTCCTTGTTACTTTGCCTGGTACCAGCCCCTTAGACTGCAGTTTTCCATGTCAGTTTTCTGCCAGGGTCTGGAGATCAGTTAATTTTCAATGGATTCAACTCTGAGAGTGAAATGGGAATTATTTTTCCTACATACTTTTCCTATATCGTGTAAACAACTACCACAGAGCAAGGCAGTCTTTTTATGCTTCAGAATGAGGGCTTTGGCAGGAATATATTCTCAAAGTGCGTTTTGCTATCTTTAGAAAAAAGCAATCGACGTGTAGTTTAATAATGAATGCAGTTGCCTGCGTGATCTTAACTTGGCTCCTGTTTGAGCTGTGTTATGATTATGTCTGAGAGCATAAACAGATTTTTCACTGATGCCTTTTTCAGAAAATGTTTTCTGGTAACTGTTTGTTTCTCATACARAAAGTGCTTGTATATGGTGGGGGGAAGGAGCAGTAATATGAGTTTATTCCATTCTGCCTTTTTTTTTTTTGTAATAGAGAAATGAGGAGACAGGATGCTCACAGCTGTTTCTACAACTTTCTGCTGTCTGACCTTTTTGTCCTGCCATGCCCCCCTTCAGTTCCTGCTGCTGGGTGTTCCCATATTCAATGTTCTCATTTATTTCCTTATTTATTTCCTTATCTATTCYGTGAAAGCAGCTTTGGGTTACTTTTGCCTTAATAMTKTGGTATCCCCAAAGATGCCTTCACWATCTTGATATCATAGTTTTATTCACCAGTAGTGACAGAAATATTTTGGTGCCTTCAAGAGACTTGAAGATCCAGGAAATCTGCTTCATTTTTGATGGATTAAAACTTGTGCWGCATTTTGGGCATTTGAAACACAAAATCCATCAACTTCACATGAGTAGAAAGTGCAATGCAGAGAGCTCAACGTCTGCAGGCGTGTATGGGTTCAGAGTTTTGGGTGTCAAGGAGATGAGGCACATGGTCAGGTGTTGGTTGAACTGGCTTGTCTTGCTTCTGAGAGTATTCTGGGATAGAAATGGGGATTTAATCAACTTCTCCATGGTTCACACGGCTTTAGTGGGTCCCTAATTCAAAATGGGAAAAATATCCTTTGAAAGTAATCATTCATGGAATCGAAATCACAATTGGAAAGGCCGTATTTGACTTTTTATTAGTAGCATTGTTAGACAATTTGCTTAGGTAGRAATTGTAATTACAAAATGTTTCCTKGTTAATTGTGTATGGCTTACTTCAGGGAACCTGTGTTCTTGTCWGGGTCTGATTATGTCCTTGAGAATTATACAATAACCACAAAAATATATTGAGTTCCCTGAAATAAAAATTGCAGTTCTTTTTTCTTAGGTGGGAATAAACCCACTTGATTTTGGTATTGCAAAGTTTGAAATTAATATCTTTGGAAGGAAAAAGCARTATGTGCTATTTGCCATCACATTGTTTTTTCTCATGATGCACTTGTTTTTGAGCATCACTCACTGGAGCTGTTTCMCTCTTTGGTCAGACGATGGGAAGGTGGAGATCCAGGCGTTTCCAATCAGAAAACACCAACCACAATCCTYCTAACTCCAGAGAGAAAATTCCACAGCTTTGGCTATGCAGCAAGAGACTTCTACCACGACTTGGATCCCACTGAATCAAAGCACTGGTTGTATTTTGAAAAGTTTAAGATGAAGCTACATACCACTGGTGTAAGTACTAACCAAGCTGCATTTTGCTACTCAAGTTGTTTTCCTCTCAACAGTACTAAATTTTTGCCTGAAAACTGTCAGCTAGATGTGAAGCATCTCTGTAAGTTTAGAGGGGAAATTGAGTAAATTAAACTCTTCCACTGACATTTATGATTCATGTTGTTTCTTGCTGCATTTGGTGACTGAATCTTGCCAGCCTTCCTTGTAAATCTCAGAARTTCAGTGTCTGCTTTGCTTTGATCTTCATGCCCTGAGTTTCCTGGGTGAAATTCRTAGCTGGAGTCTGCATGAGGTTGGTTTGTTCAATAAATCTGGTCAGCAGAAATGGGATATAAGAGCTACACTGAGTTCTGCAACGGTGGAGCAAATCCACCCAGAATTCATTGCCAGAACTGCAAGTGCAAATCAGGCTGTTAATTTGATGTAATTCCTACTGATTGATTGTATTTTTACTTTAATCCATTCTAGAGTTTTGGGAATCATCCAGTACTTGCTCTATTGAGGTGTTTTCTGGTTTCATGTCTTGGTGGGAAGCCAAAAATCCATGCTTTTAACTCTTACCTTGGATTAAATATCTTGCATGAGCAACTTTATTGCAGTTATTTACAGATACATCTATAGCAATTATTTAATATTTAGCCCRTATTTCTGCCTGCAGTTATCTGTAGGCATGGTAATTGTTTAGAATCAAAGTCTAAAATAAGCAGCAAAATGTCATGTTCCAGGAAATTCAAGTGATGAGTAAAATCCTCTTCAGAGTAGTTTTGTCACTTTTTCCTAACCAGGTGAATATTGAAGAGTTCTCTGTCCTCAAGCAGTGGGAAYTAATTTGATGTTTTCCTTTTTCTTTTAATAACTTCCAGTTATTTTCTTTCATGTAGAATCTTACCATGGAGACAGACCTGACAGCTGCAAATGGCAAAAAAGTCAAAGCACTTGAGATATTCGCTTATGCTCTGCAATTCTTTAAGGAACAGGCATTAAAGGTGGGGTAATGCTTCCTTATCAAGATTTTCTGTATTTATAGCCACTATAAATATGAGCTTAATATTTTTAACCTTGCCAAGCTGTGACCTAAGTAGTATTTGATGTAAACAAAGCAAGGCAGGTGTAGAAACTCTGGGCATGCTGTGGACTCTGGAGAGCTCACAATAGCCTGAAGAAATTTCCCCTTGCACAGGTCASGCTTGATTCACTAATGGCATCACTGTGATGAAGAGTTCTGAATAGCTTTTTACTGGCTTGGCTACTTTCTACTGTATTTTTAATGGGAAAAAAAAGGTTGATTTGACAAGAAAATGTAAAAGCTTGTCGTTTTCCATTTCTGATTTGAAATGTTGCAGTACTCCTTTCTTGCAGTGCTCTTCTCTGATCACGAGATTGTTTTTTTTTTATTCTCCAATGGAATACATGTCCCCAGTAAACAGGTTTTGAGATTTTAAATCTCCTGTAAACAGTCAATTGTGAGTTAAGTAAACATTGGCTTCCAACGTGCCACTATAATGTCAGTGTAAGCAGAGCAATTCCTGGGTCCAATCAGAGTACTCATCCAAGCAAGTGTTGTTTAAAATAGCCTTATGGTTAAAAACTAACCTATTTCTGTTGAATGGGTTTAATTTATTTTCTCTGAGATCTCAGTCTATTCCTTATGGCTGCAGAGAAACAATCCTGCCACTACAACTCAAATGCCTCATCCTGTCAAAGACATTTTTAACTGTATTTTTTTAGGGTTGATTGTGGAGTCACAGACTTGGACCTGTGCATAGACTGGGGATATTCTTAGCAAATGAATGTTGGAYAAAATCCCATATATTTGCTGTGCTATATCCTTTTCCTGATGTTAATAACTAAATCCCTGGCATTTGTGAGTGAATCCTGGAAYTAATTAGACAAAACCATGTCAGTGAGCTGTTGCTTTGGACTGTAACRTGTCTGTCTGTGGTGCCCTGTGCAGTATAAAGGCACTGCTTTTCCAGTATGGATTTTTGAACTGCAGCATAGCTGAACAAACACAACACCTTGGCACAGCACATGCAGGATCATTTTTTTACATTCTAAAGGCCTGTTGTCCACCTTTCTGAACCTTTCTCTGTTTGGATGTAGATTTAGATAGGACATATGGTAATGACATTTTACTTGGAGCCTTGCCCAAAACGTGTCAGTRTATCACCTAATTTGCAAAAGCAGTACAGACTTGCCTCTTTTTTAAGGGGCAAAAAAAAAAGGACAATAAAAGTACTAAACTAGTCTTGAATGTTTGCTTAAAGCAAAATTTTGAAGRAACCACTCAGTCATTTTTTAAAGGGGTTAACTGTAACTTCCCCTTATTAAYTGCATTATAAAAATTTGATTTAACRGTAAGTGATGTATAAAGAAGTCATTGAAAAATCCAGATTGTAAAACATAATGTTAGTCAGTGATACCACAAATATTTTTCTATGTATTAATCAATATGTGTGAATTCTTCAAGCTAACAGCAAGCCCCACACCATGGCTAAGAATGTACATAAATGTGCTGTAATAGTCTGTAAATTGCTGCTTTTGCAAAAGCCAACTTTTCTACTTTATATTGAGCAATAAACTTTTCTATCAGCCTTCTTGTGAAAACATCAACCTTAATCCCACCTTTTGGCACAATGAAGCATTCTTGGCAGATCATCAGTAATTCTGATTTGTAGCCTGGATGTAACAGGAAAAAAATTGAAAAGAGAGTTACTGTTGCTAGATCCAGCAGAAAATAGTGTTTTCCTGTAAAGTAGACACACAACAATTTTGCATTCACCTCTGTTTTCCTTTTTTTTTAGGAGCTCAGTGACCAAGGAGGCTCAGACTTTGAAAACACTGAAGTAAGATGGGTCATTACAGTGCCTGCTATTTGGAAGCAGCCTGCAAAGCAGTTTATGAGACAAGCTGCCTACAAGGTAATATTACAGGCTGAATGTAGACATGCCTCTTTAAAGCCCTAGTTTACAGGCTGAATGAAAAATTATATTTGGGGCAATTTACTTCAGTATAAACTGTTTAAATACAGTCTAGAAATGTTGAAAGAGGAGTTAACTCTACCAAGCAGTAGGTGTAGGTTATATGTAGTCACCTCTTAAATGCCTTTTTTATTCTATTTGCTTTTATATTTTGGAGTCCCTCACTGCAGACTCTGATATTTTAGTCATCTTGGACAATGTATTCCTGCTGAATTCAGTGCACATGGAACAGATGCAGTTTTGAGACCCAAGGGAAAGCTGAGTTTAAAATACTGGACACAGTTTTGTTTTGTTACTTTCTTTAGGTCATCACAGACTTTTAAAGTTTAAAAAAAGAAGAAAAAAGGAGGGAAAGAAAAGAGCCTCCTTGGTGGGACTTTTTTCCAGTTCCCATTTTCCCACAGTAGGAACGAAAGAACTGTGAACCGGATAGTCTGGATATAAAATKAAATTCAAATGTTATTTTCACCAGYAAGAGGTTTATCTGCATTTAACTCTTTGCCCCCACCCCCCAACACTCCCCAAATATGTGCACTTTTCATTTGCATGTCCTTTATTTCAAATTCAGTTTGTGTCTTTGATACATGAGATGTACACATTCTTCTTTTCATCAGGAAGTTCATTTTCAGGTTTTTTTTTTGGTTTTGGTTTTTTTTAAAATTTTTGGTCAGAGTCTTGCGTAACCATTGGCAGCAGCTATGCAATGCACAGTTTGTAAAATATCCCCTAGTTCATGAGTAATTTGCAGAGTGCTCCTGGGAAGCACCCAGATTTTTCTGACTCTGTTTCAAACTATCTCTAATGTTGAGCAACGTTTTTCTTAACAGTCTRTATTGTGGGATTGCTAATGCTAGTGCCAGAAGCAAAACTCTCTTAAAGTTCTGATGGAAGGACACGGTTGTAGGTAAATCTGAAACACTAGAGACCCATTCATTATCTCTGTATATTGTTGTCTGCCTGCTGTCTGTGTGCATGTGTGCTCGTGCAGTGGGAGCTGTGTAAGGAGCAGGGCCAGGGTTAATTAAGGCAGATCTCTTGGCATTTCTCGTTTGTGGCACAATGGAATGTTGTTAATTAGTGTCTGTGTCTGTGGTTGTGTCTGTGATTGTGTACTTTGATGGGCAAGCTYGATAAACAGCAAGGACTGACAGGGTTTTTAACTCGGGGTGTGTGATCCATGGCAGGARAACATGAGTTTAGGGAAATAATTCMTGTTAACTTGACACGTGTAGCTGRTTYTTTTTCYAAGCGCTGGGGRTGAAGAAACAAGTGCAGAAAACAGAATTCTGAGGCCATTCAGTCTTTCRGATTCCTATTGCTGGATCCAAATGTTCCTCGTGGATGGAGCAGAAATTGCAGCTCTTGTTAGCTATTGGAAGATGGAAGCATCTTGAAAATGAGGGGCATCATGTAGAGAAAAGTGTGCAAAGGCACTGGTAGAAGTAGAAACCTTGTACCAGGAGACACTGAAGTACAGCCACCAGTCTGAGCTGAGAGTTAAATTGCAGCAAATATTAATGAGCTGTGGAAATGTGCTGAGCAATCYGTGTCAAGTGAGGTGGCTCCAAGAGAGCTAAAGTACTGAAACAGCTTCAGTCACTGGTTCAGAGAGTGGAGCACAGCCTTTCTGGAATGGCTGAGTGGGTGTCTAGGCAAAGCTAATGGAGTTAAGAAAGTAAAGTAAGAAGTGTTGGAAATTGCTTCTGCGCTCAGCATCCATCAGCTTTTGACCAACCTATGATGTCAGTGCTCCCCTGATGTCCCCTCATCTCTGCTTTGCCTTAAAACATTGYTAACCTGGAACTCCTCATCTGCCCTGGAGCTCCTGCATTGTCCCCTTCCAGCTGCTGTGCTGCTTTCCCATTSAATGAGTAATCTGGGTGTTCCCTCCAGCTCACAGCTCTTCCTCTCTCTTTTCCATCCAGCCTATCAAAATCCTGCTAATTCTGTCTGCATGACAGCTTTTCCACTCTTTGCACACTGCTGAGCTTTCATCCAAGCTGTCAGTGATTTTGCATCTTTGTCCCTGCAACATCATTTCCTTGGCTTCAGCAGCTKCAGTCTGGCCTGGTTTGTATCTCTTCAGAGTATTGCCACTAAASAGTTTTGTAGCCTCACATTTGACAGGGAATCAGCCCACATTTGGCTCCATCTGTGTCATCTCAGACATAAACTGCATGTCCTGGACACGAACATCTGTATTGCTCACTCGTTTTCCTCTTCTGAAATCCTTTTTAAAGTGCTGGGTTTTTTCATACCTATAAAAAACTTGACTGTGATAAACCTACTTATATTGGAAAACTACTCCTCATTGCTTCTTGCTGTTACTCTGCCTGCCCTGTCTATTCATCTATTGTGCTTTTTGTATCCTTAACAGTTTTTATACCTAATTTATTACCTCTTTGGAGCAGGTATTTGCTTATTCTCATTTGTCTCCCTCTCTGGAGCCTTCTGAGGGACTAAGTCTGGCAAGGTTGTAGAGAGTTGCATGTCTTTACAGATTATTTTGCTGAATCAAAATTACTTTATTCCTGAATAACAGTTCACAGACTTTTCTTCTGTCCCTCACGCTTAATTCCTGTATGTCCAGAGATGGTTCTAAAGCTCTRTGACACTTGTTAAAGTCTGGTCACAACAAGAGAGAGCCCTATGGCAAGAGCACTGTAAACTCTGCAGGACTCACTTAGCCTTAAATTTCCTTTCCCAAAACATGTATGCTGGGATTAGTGTGCATTTCATCGTGTTCAATGCATCCTGAGTAATGACTTTTAGGATTTATGGCCACATTTGCCATTGTTCCCACCAATAAATGCAAGGCATCATAAATGGCATTAACTTTTCTGTGTCCCATTTGTTCTGCTTCACATTCTTTGGGCACAGGTAGCACAGAACAGAATCTTCAGGCTGGAATTCCTTGAACATGCTGATAGGAATGAAGTTTTAAGGAAGAGTTTGGAGTGTGACAGGAGTATGTGAGTGCAGAAGCTACGAGATAAGAACGTAAAACACGGCATGACAAATGCACTCAGGGCAGAGTGGAGGAAAGGGAAGGCTGGTGCATTTTTATAAGCCTGAAAGGCTCTGTGGGCTTTCAAACATCAGTCAGTTGGTCTAGTCTGATATACTGGTGGTTCTTTTCATTTTAATATGAACTATTGAATTTTGAAATAGAGTTCTAGAGTTCTGAAATAGATTTAGCTTTGAATTAAAAATAGCAAATCATTTGCATGGTAAACTAGCATAAACAAAAAGAGAGGCAGTCTAGGTTATARGGTAAAGCATGTGAGCCTAAAATCCCAGAGACTTTATTTAACCAGCTCCTATGCTGAACATTTATTATTGTTTTCACATCAGTTTTGTCATGGAATGTGCACAATGAGAGTCATTTAACATGTTGTGTTCTGGGTTCATATGACATTGCATTGATTAGCACTGGATTGCTCTGTGGAAACCTTTGGAGAAAGATAAACAAACTTGGTGAAAGAATCATGTGACAGCACAAGAAATTCCTGGCTAATAAAAACGTGATGTGAAGTGTGTTTGACTTTAAAAAAGATGGCTTGGGAGGCTTAACCAGATTGAAATAGTGAAGCTGAGCTGCTTTTATTCCCTCATAAGTCTGTTCTTCGGTGCATAAAACACACACAAGTGAAATTTATTTGTGCAGGGACAGTGTGACAGGCTTCTGCTATAAACTGCATAAAAAGGTGTAAGCAGCAGTGGCAAGCTGGTTATTTTTCTGAAACTACTTGTTAGTGAGACAGAGGAGGCAGAAGTGTGTTACTATATCAACCATCCTGATTATTTGTAGCTTGTGAGGGTCTCTCGAGCCTATTCTTTTACTGTTGTGATATTAAGATCTTTTTAATCATGGGGATTAAAGTGTTTATTGAGTGATGTGTTGAGGAGGATTCTGTGTCTTATAGCTGTGTTTAATTAGGAAACGATAGCTAATTGTGAGGTGAAGATTACAGAATGGAAAATGTGTCCTAATTGATCTCTGCTCACACATTTGAGTCACTCAGCCAGGTTCACRTGAAGGCAGAGGCATCTGCTAATCCAGTCCTGTCCATTTCTGTTTGTCCACTTTTGTGGTATAAGTTAGAGTATTTGGAGGTTTTTTCTTTTGCTAAACAAGTAAAACAAGAGTTTCTCATAGCATTCTGTGTAAGAGTGAATCTGTGCCTATCTTAAAATTTGAGACACATTTCTCAGGTTATTAGAAATTGCCTGAAAGCAACAGAAATGACAAAAATTAGAATAATCTTTCTGTCTGGTGGAAAGATTGTGCTACATTTTTTTTAGCTAGGGTTTACCAGCTAAAATGAAAAACCTGAGTTCAGGTCTGAAAGGCTGTAGTCTACAATCATTAGGGAGTGATAGAAATCCACAGATATAAATCGGTGTGGACAAGGCCTAAAACTAATCAGTTTRTAATAAGTTCATAGAAAGGACAATAGATTTGTCTAAAAAACAACTTCTGTGCAAAAATTCAGTTACACAGAAAAGAAATACARTCTGAAATTGGAACTGTAGTGAAAAATATCAAGGCAAAATCAGACCSTCTGAGGTGCAGAATAAGATGCAGCTAACAGAAAAGAGCAAGGARTTGGTTTTCTAAGTGCAAATCCTCAGTCAGGACTTGTGTAATCTTAGTAAAATCAGCCAGAGCCATAAGGACCCACAATGAGGATATTTCTAAATAAAGGGAAGGAGAGAGCCTGAGGCATTAGGAAGAGGTTTAAATAGGAAGAGTCAGGTTTTGCTGTTTTGGTAACTGGTGCATGCCCYGGGTACAAAAAGCATTTCTGGGGTATTAYAACATGAAAAATTGAAAAGCTTATRAGAATTTAATGGCTTCGTTTTTCTAATGCACGCTACTCATCAGACTTGCAAGTAATGTTCTGCTGCACCTTGGGGGATATAATGTAATGCAGCAA